CGTCAAAATCCGGGACATGATAGTCTTCCGAATGAGTGTTGGTCGTGGAAGCTTGTATATTTGCACCAGATATAGCTTTCCCCTTGATAGCATATGAGTCCTCTTGTAATCCGGGTAAGATTTCAGGTGAGACAACCCCTTGTGGGGTAGGTAGTATAGTTACCCCTTCCGGTGAACCTTCCCCAAGCGCACTGGTCTGTTGTAGGCCAACTAACTTGGCAACGATCTGATCAACCAAAGATTCTTGGTTCTTCATGATTGTATTCAGAGTACTCAGACTAATCTAGTTTATCTTATCTTCAAGTTCTTTCTGCAATTTTGCCATGTTCTCCTCGATTTGAGCCATTCTGGCCTCCATTTGTTTTTTTCTTTTTCAAGCGGGTGTTATGCGGATGAGGTGTGTCCAACGCTTGAGGCGGTGTATCCAGTATTTATTCCTTCATTGAGACATTCTTCCGTTAGTTGATGTGAATGCAAAGAAAATAACGAAATGCAAAATATGTCTAAATGCATGATACATGAAATATCCGAGTCATTGATCCAAAAAATGTGACTGTTATTATGAATAATCCTAATTGGGGACAAAAATGTTTTATCTTTTAAGAGACAAAAATATCCTGACAGCTTCTGACATGTTGACTAGTCTTCTGCTTTCGTCTTTCACCGATTGAATAACTTGTCGAACCGCTCCGGCCTCTCTGGATGAACCGTGAAAATGTTGAGTTGTTTTTCGTACTGGTCCAAGAAGTCTCGAATGATCGCATCTCGAGCATTTACTTTTGTTGAGCCTGTTCCCAACGAATTCGTCATTGGAGCCCTTAATTGATAGGAACTATGTGAAGTTCATTAATCTGTTTCTTGAATTCGCCAGCAATGGTCTCCATTTTCAGCTATCATTTTACCATTGTCGTGTTCAAAGGAACTTCCAAGATACATAACCTTCATCCTGCCCCTGCAACATCTGCCAGTCAGTTCTTCAAAGATAAGCTTTCATTGTGCTTGATGTAGACCCGGTTCATTATGAGTCCTTTATAATGCAACAGAGTGATATACTCTTCAATTGTGGGCACCACGTCTTCTGGATTGAATGTGACACATAGTCGCCTTGTAGACTATCCTCTGTATTTTCATCTCTTGTATTACAACACCTTTGTCCATGGATTCAGATTATTTGAGTTTTAACAAACACGTTTTAGTGGATCAATGACCTCTTTTGAATGATGTAAGTGATGTAAATAAAATAAAATAAAAGAAAGATTAAAAGAGTTAGTGAGGTGAAAAATAATAAAAAATGATCATAAAAATGAAAGTCCTACCCCACATGATATCTACCTCACATGCTTATTATTCATACCCAAACATGATCTCTATCCCGCAAGTTGATTTTTAACAAGTCCTAACCGCATAAATTTCTAGTTCACATGCTTTGAACAGAAAGTAAAGTAGGAAATAATTCCGGTATCCTAGGGTTTGGAATGAGGTTTTGGGGTGGGCTCTAACTCCTTGTAGTCTCCGGGTTTAGGTTCTAAAAAAAAGTACCCGAGTTCTCCTTGCTGGTGCCCCCTTGGGCTTACCAGACCCTTAGTCCTAAACCCATCACAGGCTTGTGTGGACTAAGTTAAACTCGAGAGGACACATTCCCTTATGCCCATACGGAGAATAAATTCACATGAAGGCATAAGGTATATGAATCCCGAAGGTTACTTGCTAGGCCCATACGATGAATAAATTCACACGAAGACGTCGCTTTCACCCCCACTTAAAACGGGTTCGGAGCTCGGGTATAGAGCCTTTAGATGAAAAAAAAGAAAACTTTGAAGGCTGAAATCATGAAAAAACAATTAGTCCAACTATTTACTCGAAAATAATCAAAAGTAAGTAAAAATGATCGAAATATTACCTTAAAATTTAAACTTACACTTTTCGTTAAAAAGACAATTGGAAATTACCTTAGCCTGACTCACTTACCGTCCCCAGTGGAGTCGCCAAGCTGTCGTAACCGTCTTTCGGTTGGGCCCCGGAATTGGGCTTCGACTTGAAAAATGTAGATTGGGAGTCGCCACCGATCATTTATTTAAAACTAAATGGGTTGATCGGATACCCTATTTCTTACCTGATCTGCGTCTTACCAGAAATATGTCGGGCTCGGGAGTCGGTTATGGTCAAGGAAGGATTAGCACCCTTGAACCGCCCTTTCGGTACTACGTAATTTCCAGTTGTCTTAATAAAGAAAAATAACAAGTTAAATTAAAAGGTAAAGTTTCGATCCTAATTACTTACCCTTGATTGATTTGAAAATATCCTTTAAAAAAATCGAGAAATGTGTTAGATAAACAAGGTAAAGAAAACAAATAAGATATAAGGGAAAAATAAAATAAATAAAATAAATAAGTAAGATAAGAAAAAAATAGTAAAGTAATAATTATATATAGTAATATTTGAAAAAAGGAAAAAAATATAAATATATATATATATATATATATATCAAAGTATTAATAAAATAAATAAGCTATATATATACACTAAATACTTAAAAATAAAAAAGTTACCCTCCCAATTCACCGAAAGTGGGGGGCTTTAGTAAGAAATAAGACAAAAAAATTGGCCCTCTAGGTTAGTAGTATATAATATAATGTTTAATAATAATAATGATAAAGACACAATGTTTTTTTTAAATAATAATATAATAATAATGAATAAAAAAACGAAAATAATAAAAAATAATATAAATATATAAAGTTATAAGATATATTACATAAATAAAGAAATAATCAAATAAAATAATTAAGAATATATATATTTAATATAAATAAACTATTAAAAGTATAAAAAATATATACGATTAGATAAAGATAATTACAATATATATATAGTAATATTAGACTTATAAGTAAAATATTAAAGATATATATATATAATAATAAAATATAGTAAAAAAATAAATGAAAATAATTTAATATATATATATACATATAATAATAATAACATGAATAATAAAAATAAATGAATAAAATATCCATATAATAAATAAAAGGACTAATATAGATTTTTAAAAAGCTCTTCTTCTCCTTTAACTGAAAATCAAACCGGTTTTTAAAAATAAGCCTCGAGGTAGATCTAGGTTCGAAACTTTGAAATCCCACCCATTTTGGTCATCGGTGCAACCCACGTTTTGGGTTATTCGAACCAAATCTCAAGAAAAATAACGTGCACATGCAAAAGAAAGAAAAAAGAAAATGCTACATTTTATTTCCTTTTCGAATCCTTTACAATAGTTTTTGCCTTTGTATCTTCCCGTGCTTTCCTCTATGTTTTGTGTGTAAATCCTGTGTTACAATGGTGAGTTACAATGGCTATTTATAGTGCTTGTGGATCCTATCTTTAGGATTTTAAATCTTAGTAGAACTCTATCCTATTTTTAGGAGTTTGAATCCTAGCAAAATTGTATCCTATTTTTAGGAGTTTGAATCCTAGTAGGACGAAAATGTGTGTTGACAATTTGAAACTTTAAAATTCTAAACATTAAATTTTAAATTTTAATATCAAAATTTTAAATTTTAATCCAAAATAAATATATAATATTAATATATAATAATATAAAAAATAAGTAGTCGCTTATTCTTCTTATTTTTTTAACATTTTAGCCTTCAAAGTTTAGGGTAAAGAATCCTTATTTTGAATTGTTGATCGTTTATTGACTAACGATTTTCATCTACGGAGTGACATTTTCATCCCAAAATGAAACGTTAGGGGCCAAAATGCTCTAAACAAAAATATGATCATAACGACTATTTAATCAAACATTAGAGATATTTTTTGTCATTATGCCTACTATTGAAAACGTATGTACATAAAAACGAGTCATTGCCAAACGATACGGTTGCATTTGTTATACAGTCTTTATAAAATTGTCTAAAATATGATTATATATGTGTATTGATACGAATAACTTATGATTTTCTAATTATATTTAAATAAAAATTTTGCATGTCTCGACCAATTCAATAATAATACTTTTTATAAGTGTTGATTATTTGATTGTATGATAATGAAATAATGTTTAGTATTCATACATGTATAATATAAAACTATATGACATTTGTAGTGATGAACGATATGTATATGAAATTAAAAATATATTGACTTTATTAATTTAATTATATAAATATGATTAATTTACTTTTGTGCATTTATAGTATATGTATATATTATGTATAATATATGTCTTTTTAATATTTTTAAATATATTAGTTTCTAATAATTTATAGTTTAATAGATTTTGATATTTTTATAAAAAATAATTTCTAATATTTTTATTATATGTTTTAATTTTTTAATAATTATTTTTTAGTTTTAGTTTTTTAAATATTTGAATATTTTTAATTTAAAAATTTAAATATATTTTATTTTTAAACAAATTAAACAAGCACTCAAGATTTCTAAAAGATAATTTTACCCTCAAACTAGACCATAAAAATCAAATTAATCCCTCTATCACATCATCAACTACCTGAACTATCATGTAAGTAATATAAATGCTACACCACTTATTTGAATCATTATGTTAATATCGTAACGGTTAATATTCGATTTTATTAGTCAACGAGTCAAATAATTTTTTTCTATATTGAATGTAAAAAAGCTTGAGTTATATTATATTCTTTTTTTAAAAAAATGGGTCTCAAATATCATCAAATCTAATTAATTATATTTTAGTCATTTGATTTATTTTTAATAAAAATGCATTTAATTTTAACTCGATTATATAATAATTATACGAAGATTTCATTAAATTATTTAATTTAAAACAAAATATATTTTAAAAAGTTGAGTGATGATAGACGGTATAGATATGTGGCGATCGTGCCTATATATACTCAGAGGTGTGATGTTAGCCCAACTGCATTACGACTTTTCTTTTTATTATATTTCTTCAATTTTTGTGATTCTCCTGTCCCTCTCTTCTTCTTTCTCTATCTTCAATAAATCACACGGGACCTCTCTTTTACCATCCTCCTCTCTTTTCTCGCCCAATTTCTTATTCTTCATTTCCATGGTGCGTTGTTCGTAATTACTCCCCAATCCAAGTAGCTGTACAGTTAAAAGCTAAGGTATTACTTGTTTCTTTATAGCTCCTCTCTTTGCCTCAGTTTCCCCCCTTTCCACTATTTCGGCTCTTCAAACAACGCTTTTTCCGAGATTTCCTTTGTTTTCCCCTCCATCTGTAATCTGAATCATGTCTGTAGCGAAATCTAATTTTAGAAAATTAGAGCTTTTTTCTATTTTTACATAACTTGTCTTAAGCTTGGTAGATCTACGAAGATATTAAATACCCACTTTGTTTATTTAATTTTTTGTTTGAGTAGATCTGTTGATCTCAAGCTTTCTTTTTCTGGAATAGTTGTAATACTTGTTATATGTTCAAATACGATGTTTGATTAAGCATCTGTTTATGTGTTAAATAGGGGAACTGATTACTATTAACATTAAAAAAAGAAAGCAAAAAAGGAAAGATGAACCAGTGTGCAATCCAACAAAGCGAAATTGGAAGCAGCCGTGGCGAGATGCGGAGCTCCATTTCCGTTTCGGTTATGGTTGTGGATCGGAAAGAGACCATGGTTTGCCCGAAACCACGTCGTCTGGGTCTCTTGAACACTCCCTTCAACGACTACCGTGTTAGGTCCCCCAGATGGCAACTTTGGTAATTTTCTCTTCTTTATACGCCCTTCATTTTTCACTATCGTTTTCTTTTTTCAATAAATAGATCTGATAAACAACGTTTTTTAAATGCTTTCCAGCCATCAAGCGGAGGTTTGTGATTCAAAAGGAGGGAGTGATGTTTTGGATATGATTCTTATGAAGGTATGCATTTTTTCTCGTAATATCTTTGTTAATACAATACCTGAATTAACCATAATTTTTAAATCATAATCTAATGTATTTAAACGTATTCGAATCTACGATTCCGCTGAGTTTCTGGAATTATCATTATATTATATGATGTGATTATTGGTTTTGAAATTCAACAGGATGGAAGTGGAGTGGAACAAACTTGTACAGACATAGGGTCGTCGCCCCCATTTTTTTGTGGGTCGCCACCCAGCAGAGTATCTAACCCGCTAATACAGGATGCCCGATTTGGGGACGAGAAGGCTATGACTCCGCTGCCACCGTCGTCTCCATCATCCAATTCAAGGAAAGGCAGCTGTGTCCGGGCAAATTTTGGTAACAAACCAGCAGTGAGAGTCGAGGGGTTTGATTGTCTCGATAGAGATGGTCGAAATTGTCGCATCTCTGCACTGGCATAGAACCCCATTCTAAAAAAACAGTACATAGATATAAACCGGAAGGTTCTTAATAATGCCACTTTTAAAACAGACAAGGGAGAGAGAGAAAAATGAGAGGAACTCTTTTGTTGGTATGTAAATATGTTTGTAAGGGGTTCCTTTAATCCTTTCAATGTAAGTGATGGTGTCTTGTCTTGTAAGTAAAGGAGTTTCTTCAACAAAAATAAGGGGAGAGGCGCGTTTGCTTAGGGTAGTTGTAAAAAACGCCATGAATCATGTGGGGAGAGATGATCTTTTCCTACTGTTTATTTTTTTTTGTTTTTGGTGGGTCGTTTGAAGTTTTAATGATGAGCGGCTTATGGAGAGAAAATCTGTACAAATTTTGAAGCTGGTAATTGAGCATAATTTATGCTAGACATTCGACAATTTGTATAATGAATCTTCTTTTGTGTTGTTTCTGGTTCTGTTTCTCTGTCATTGTATTTGTATTGTGCCGTATTCATCGTTTTGGTTGTTAAAATTAATTGGGGAATGCCTCCACTTGTTGATGTTTGCTTACGAATCACGCTCTTATGGCTCGAAGGTGGTGCTTGAAAGATGAAAGTGCTGAAACCCACATTTGCTTATTGTCAGTGGCACCAAGCCACTTCCAGGGTTTTTATCCTGTCGACGTGAGTAACGAAGAGGTCTTTATAAATCATATTTAGTACTTTCTTAATAAAATATCTAATGTTGTTTTTACTTTTAGAAAATTTAATATAGACCCTGTATCTTATTCTATATGATAAATTTTAGATAAAATAACCTCAGTGACCAAAAATATCTTATAATATACGATTTTAACTAATTTTTTTTGGATTTGCAAAAATGACCAACTAAATCGTAATGCAATCGATAATTCGCAACGCGATCTCCAGTATCGTAAATCAGTTTTCAGATTCGCAACGCGAACTTCGACTATCGCATTGCGATTTACATATTCGCATTATGATAGTCCAAGTTCGCGTTGCGATTTACATATTCGCATTGCGATAGTCCAAGTTCGTGTTGCGATTTATTCCAAGTTCGTTACGATAGTCGAAGTTCGCGTTGCGATTTATTCCAAATTCGTTGCGATAGTCCAAGTTTGCATTGCGATTTATTCCAAGTTCGTTGCGATAGTCCAAAATCGCAACGACGGTATTGTATTTGTTTCTTAAGAATTTTCTCTAAAAAGATAGTATTCGCACGGACGTGTCGAAGACACGTATTACCACGATCACGACCACGAGTGAGAGTCCCCCTTGTTCTCTATCACTCAACAAGGAAGTGGGAAAGGCAAGCCTTAAATACCATTCCCAATAGTGTTTTCAATACTATGTGGGATTGAGCATTACCAACACTTGTTCCCAATACTATGTGGGATCGAGCCTTAAATAGTGATATTATTTTTGAATGTTTTGCTTAAAATTGCAATAATCGCGATTGATTGTAGATTGACTTTTAATTATGACATATTTAATCGTATAATACTAATGCAATTGGTTGCTGATTCAGTTGTTTTAAGGTGCATGATTGTTAATTGTTTCCTGAATAATCACATTGTATTGGAAACAAGTGTTGGTAATGCTCAATCCCACATAGTATTGGAAACACTATTGAGAATGGTATTTAAGGTTTGGCTTTCCCACTTCCTTGTTGAGTGATAGAGAACAAGGGAGACTCTCGCGCGCCGCCGCCCGTCTCGTCACGGGCCGTGGCCGTGGCCGGGGTCGTGGTCGTGGTCCAAGTTCGCATTGCGATAGTCGAAGTTCGCGTTGCGAATCTGGAAACTGATTTGCGATACCGGAGATCGCGTTGCGAATTATCGATCGCATTGCGATTTAGTTGGTCATTTTGACAAATTCAAAAATAATTTGATTAAAATCGTATATTTTAAGATATTTTTGGTCAATGAGATTATTTTCTCTAAATTTTATTACATAATGAGGCTCAGATCTGCTTATGTAAGGGTTGAAAACGTCATAACTTCAACACATCTTCCTGAGGAAGTCGAACATGCTATACAATTTCCTTACAGTACTATAAAGATTATCCTATTTAAACAATAAATTAAAATAATCATTCTCTAAAAAAAATAGTTTTCCCAAAACAATAATTTAGTCATTTTGCCTGTATATATATGTGTATGTGGATTCAGTCTCATCTCAATTGACAATAATCATCCATTTAAGAGCTTGGGAATCTACCCTTGTAAATAGGATTTCCTACGAGAAGAGCAAACAATTCTAGAACCGCTTTCTCCGCGGGGCGGGGTGCAGATTTGTACCACTTCCCAACTATCGAACACACATCTTTCTCACCGCTAACTGCTTTTTTTATTTTTCTATAAAAATTAAAAATAACTATTTTACTAGATAATCTGTGGTCTCAAAATTTTTAAAATAATCTATTTTTTAAAAAATATATGGCTACTATGATTAAAAAAATGAAAATTAATATAAGAAAGTTTTTTACTTGAGCGGTAAATGGTAATCATTCATGGGTACTGAATGGCGCGTGCTTTATCGACGAGGAGAAAAGGCGTGGGATCTAAAGTTGGAGACTTTTAGAGAAACAAAATAGCCACCCTTTCACTATCGTCTACTCACTGTTTTCAAGTTAAAACACTGGTTTTCTTCGCTATTTTGCTTTGCAACACAAACAAGGCAGTTCTCTTTGCCCCCCACTTTTCAATCTTCCGCCTGAACACAAACCAGAGATGGGAGAAGGAAAGGGCTCCACCCTCGTCCACCTTCTGGTGGTAGTCCTTAGCTTGGTCGCTTTCGGCTTCGCCATTGCTGCTGAGAGAAGAAGAAGCGTTGTAAGCCCATTTTTCTCTCTTTTTCAGCTCTACTTCACATACCTAAAAAATCCACCTTTGTTTATTCTGGGAAATTAGGGTTTTTGAGTTGTGATATATGTAGAGATCTGTGGGGTTTGAGAGGGAATTTTTGCTGGGTTTTGTTAGCATGGAATATTTGAAGTCTCAGATTCTCTGCAACTATTTATTTATTGTAGGATTCCACATGTAGAATATGTTATTAAATTCTGTTTTTCTATTGTTTTTTTTATTGAAGATCTGCATTTAAGGTTATTTAATTAAAGCTCATCAATTTACTCTTAAAAAATGTTAAGCTAAAGACGTATACATGCTGGCATCTCTCATATCCTTAATAGAAGAGTGAAAGAATAAGGTGTTCTGTGGTCTATGTCTGTGTTCTTAATATGTAGCTGAATTCTTTGTTTAATTTGAAATGGTAGGAATTTGGGTTGTTGGTAGGTTTTGTTTAGGGTTAGTTTTACTTGTGTAGTTATTTATTTTGCAAGGCTGTATGGGGTTGGATATGACTTTGTAATTGACGACTTCTCGACCCCCTTTTTGGGGATACCTTATGCCCGGCCGTCGGGCTATGGCTCGACCAAGTGCATTGTTTTATGACCTTCTAACCTTTACTTTGCCTCACTGCAGGGAACGGTTGTTAAAGATAACATATCAAATGAGACATATTGTGTCTACAACTCGGATGTTGCCACTGGCTATGGAGTAGGTGCTTTCTTGTTTCTTCTTTCAGGTGAATCCCTGTTGATGGGAGTTACGAAGTGCATGTGCTTCGGGAGACCATTGGCACCGGGTGGTGACCGAGCTTGGTCTATCATCTATTTTGTTTCATCATGGTAAAGTATTTCTGATCCGCATAACGCGTCATGTTCATCATCCATCACACTTTAAGGAGCTTCTAATCTCTGATTGGTCACTCTCCTAATTTTTCACTCCATGCCGGAATCTGAACATCTATATGCCATAATACTTCCTTCTCTACCAATAGACCAATGTGATTTATGTTTGAATCTTGTTGATCGTCTTCCTTGCTCGTTTTCTATGTGGCATTCTGCTCATATCATATCACACACATATATATTTATCTTCCGTTTATCCTGCTTGTTTCGAGATTTCAATTGTTGGTGCACCTGTGCTTGCAGGCTGACTTTCTTGGTTGCCGAAGCATGTCTAATAGCGGGTGCAACAAGGAATGCCTATCACACCAAATACCGTGGGATGATTTACGCCCAGAATTTCTCCTGTGAAACATTGAGGAAAGGCGTCTTTATCGCCGGAGCAGTTTTTGTGGTTGCGACAATGGTTCTCAACATATACTACTACATATTCTTCTCCAAGGCAACCACCGCGACACCCGCTCACAAGGCGAATCGCGCAAATCTAACTGTTGGGATGACCGGTTATGCATAATATTAAATTTACACGATTACATAATTTAGGCAGATGAGTTTGGCTTATTGTTATTGTTTGAGCTTGATTGACGTTATAATAAAAAACTGTACTTGTTATGCTCGTGTTTTTCTGGTGACGGTATGTTCAGTGTCGATGGAAGGACAGCAATGAAGCAATAGGTTTGTCGGGGACAGTGTACGGACAATATTCAGACATACCTACTTCAACACCTTGGCGAGATTCGCTCTCAATTTCATCGGCTTCTCCTATGTTTTCACTAATTAATTTGTCCATGAGTTTTTTTAATCAAATCTTAATAATTTGTATATTAATCAAAAAATAATTTATGGTTTTATATTTGTTATATATATTGTTTATATTATTAAATAATATTTTTTATAAATAACTTTAATTTACTTTCATATGCTCTTAATCAATATTCAGATAGAATTTAATTTTCAATGATAAGGCTCTGACATTCTATGAACAACTCACCTAATTGTTGGCACCTGATGATATTTATTAAGGGAACTAGTTCAATCATGCACATTGGGCTTTTATTTTGATTTATTTTAAAAACAATTATTTAAATTATATTATCTTCTATCTATATATCTCTAAAGTATTTTTTTAATTAAAATTAAATTTCAAAATTTAGAAACTAGTATGGTTTAGATGACAAATATTAATAGTGGATTTTTTTTATTCTTAGTTTTCTTTGCGTCGTTTGTCTTTTATCTGTATTTTTGTTGGTTGATGACGATATTAGTTTTGGATTTCATCACCGATCATTAGTATTCTTTATTTTTCTTTTATTACATCTTTATTTTTCTTTTATTACATCTTTATTTTTTTTTAGTTTTTATTAACTTTATTTTCATAGCATGTTTATCTTTATATTTATGACACTTTTTTTTTGTCTTTTGATATTTTTCGATCTTTTTTATCTTGGTTGTTCTCTTCGTTTAATATTCTCATTGTTGGATTTGATATATTTTTCAACTGATCGAGATGACGTTTATTTTTAATTCTGTTTATATGTCTTACTTTAGACCCTCAAATTGAATTTGTATAAGCGGATGCGTTCGGATATAATTTTCTCACGACGCTCGACTCTGATTTATAATTGTCGATAATCTTTCAGTAATTTGATTCATTTTATTAATTTGTTTGTCGATATAGTCGGGTATATTCATATTTGTAGTTTGTTCTAGTTTTATGGATTTTGTATGTTTTCCTTATAAGATTCTTGTGCAATCTCAAGTGATTAATTTTTTGTATCAATTACTATAAAAAGCATCTTAACTATATGTTTATGGTCCTAAACCTATATTATAATTTATTTTTTTAATAAAATTAATTGATTCTATTTGTGTTAAAAAAAAATCTGTTCAAAAAATATAGAAAAATATCAATAAAAATCTTCTACTAATAAAAGGAAAGATTCCTCAAACTTAATCACCGAGGTGCAGATTTTTTAAACACAATGGCCTCATGGCTACCATTTTTTAATTATGTGTTTGGTTCATATTGGGGCCTAGAAGGATAAATAGTTTAATCAGGATGACAGACCGAAGTCAAAGGAACAATAATATTGTTTTAATACTCTCTCCATGGCTGAAACTCTATCAGCATATGACAATAACCCGTTGCAATTCTTTCTCTCATACTTCTCCTCCCCATCGAAATCCCAGAAGAAAAAAGCAGTGTCGGATTGTTGTTAGAGATAGAGTGTTTTTTTCTTCTACTTTTCTCTCCCAGGTAAGGGAAGGAAAGGGTAGGGCAAGCAAATCTTTATGAGAATTTTGAGCAGCAGCAGGAGTGTTTTGAATTCTTCAATGGTTGTGGTATTGGTGATCTCTGTGTTACAGATTTGGGTTTGCTTTGATTGCTGCCGAGCTGGAGCAATCAGGATTTTCCGGGAAAATGGAATGAGAAAGATGATGGAAAGCAAGGTCGAAAACAGGGAAGATATTCAAAACTACTTCAATGGAACATCATCTTTTGATTTCAAGGGAAGAACCGATGAAAAATTTGAAGAAAGCAAACGAAGAGTTCCCAGTTGCCCAGACCCTCTCCACAACTAGTAGACAATTCTTCTAACCTACATCTCCTTCATTTTCTTTTGAATTTTGCTGATTAAATTGTATCCAAAATACCCTTGTTTTTTTCTCATCGTGACCTTGCTGGTGTTTTTCAAAGATTTTGGTGGGAAAAAACGATGGTATTTTGGAATTTCTTTATCTACTTCCATTTGAATCCTTTTTCTCTAAAGAATATCATCATGATCAAACACGTTTTGTTGCAATGGGTGCTTGCTTTGATGAATATGGCAAGTTATCTTCCTTTTTATGCAGTTGCATGTTTCTCACCTTTTCCCCAGAAACAGGAAGAAATTATAAAAAAAAAAAGAAAGCTTTCTAGCCGTCTGATCTATTGACTAATTTTAATTCAGAAGCCAACCGTTGACTCCCCACTAACAGAGGATCTTTCAAAAGTTACAAAGCTCTCTCTAATTCTTTGTGCACCATGTGGAATTTCGCTGTCATAGCTTACAACCAAAGTTTTCTTCTTTGGCATGCAATTTTTCACCATGTGCACCATGTTCGTGATACAGTTTATAACCATATAGTTAGCGTTGTTTTTTAAACTTCAGAAAGAAAATAAAAAAGGCATATATTTTAACAAAGAGGAGCAAGTGACAGAATGAATAAAAACAAAGCATGGAAATAGATGTTTTTGGAAGGGCGAAACGGCCACGTATTATGGGCCAAAGAAGTTGAAAAAGCTGCAATTGATATCATAGCCGAGGTGATTTGTTTGCTAGTGCTTTGGATTTGGAATGTCTCTCTGGTTGTTCAACTCACTTAATGCATGGAGATGTGAATATGGAATATGAGAATATTTCAAAACAAAGAAGAAGATGATTGTGATATTTAATTATTGTCAGGCTCCAAATTTAAATCCAAGCCGACTCGATTGGATACCTATCCATCAAGCTGCATTAATTTCGAGGTCAATTATGATACATATAAATATTTCAGATTCAAATAACTACGTCTCTGCTATATATACATATATGCTTATACGCAGGAATGTTGTGAATTGATGGATATGACACACTGAACCAAATGTGTTGGGCGTGGGGCTAATGGCTTTACACGTTTGCCACCCTCCACCCCAACATTAGGCCGCCCAACCAGTGTTTCGTAGTAAGTAGATTTATTCATGGTTGGGTAGAATAAGACAATGACATTTTAAAATTAATTATAATAATATTTAATTTTAATATTAATATAATAATAATAATAATATGTCAACTGGAACTTAAATAATCATGTCTACACTTGAAATCAAATGCTCGTTTCGTGGAGTGAAAATGGGCCAAAACTGAAGTATGCTTAATCAAAAAGGCTTCATTTTTGTGGTTTAGTAAGACTAGGCATAGCCCAAGTTCGTCCTGCTCTTGCCTCTTTTCAACTAGGATGCGATCCTATTTCTATTTCAATACTTGTGTCTCAAGCACGACAGTTTTAGAACTTGGAGATAATATGTTTTTGTTCATTAATAAGAATCAAATCTCTCTATCAAAGTCAGTGCCACATCCAAATTACATCCATAAGTTTTAGATTTGAACAACGACATCAACAAGGTATGTAGTTAATATGTTTTTGCAATGCAAGAAGGTTTTTGAACCATTTGGTTCACGGCAAAAATATTATCGAGGATAATAGTCTTTTTCAAAAAAATATATATTTCACTATTGATTTGTAAGGATTGTACAATAACAATGTTAATATATTATTATCAGTAATAGTGTTTTTTTCTCAAAATGGTGAGATTTCATAATTTTAGTCATTTTAGATTATAATGTTCTCATTCTGTTATATAGTGAAATATATAGGGAAAATTTTATAGAATGGTAATAAGACCAGCGCTGCTGTATGGATCAGAATGCTGGGCAATCAAGAAGGATCCCGTAAGGAGGATGGAGGCCGTAGAAATGAGAATGCTTCGATGGGCATGTGGTAGGACTCTGTGGGACATGACACCAAACTCTGCTATTAGGATGTCCTTGGGGGTGTCTGTATCCGAAAAATTGAGGGAGGGAAGACTACGATGGTTTGGGCATGTCCTTAGGCGACAACCGTCAGATGTGGTCAGGAGGGTAGAGTCGATTACAGTCAACGGTGCCAGAAGGAGAGGACGACCAAGGCGGAAGTGGGAAGACATCTTGAGATCTGATTTGAAGGATTTAGCCCTTACCGAGGACATGACCTCTGATATGAAAGTATGGAGACTTAAGACTATGGTAGTCGAGGAGTGCGGGTTACATCCATAGGGTGTATCATCTATGTCTTCTTTTAATGTCTTTGTAGAAATTTCAATGACTTATACTTTTTATACGTTTGTCATTGGAATTTTTGAAGGCTTAGAACTAAGTAGCGGAGAAATGTTACCTTAGTTTAGGTTTTAACCCATTTGACTTTATTCATTCTCGTTGCTTGCTATCGTTGACTTTTGTGTATCATTCTCTTCAGGTTTCCTCTTTTTAATTTTAGTCGGGTCTTATGTTTCTGTCTATATGCAGAGCCTTTTTACGCAGGGATTTATTTGCAGGGATTACTTCTCATTACAGACGCGCATATGTAGATTGCATATGAAGGTTGTTTCAACTATGTATTTATTTATTTATACATGCATTGCATTCTATCTTTATTTTTAATTTTCTGACTACCGGAGGTCTTCCACGGAAGCTGCTCTCAACCTGGCGTTGAATACAGCCTACTACCCTATCTCCCCCTTACCCCATTGCATATGGGAATAGGGTTTTGTTGTTGTTGTTGTTGTTGTTGTTGTTGTTGTTGTTGTTGTTGTTGTTGTTGTTGTTGTGTTTATATAAATTTAAAACCATTAGATGAGTATAATAACTCCACATTTGAAATAAAAAAAATAAAAAAAAATCAGGATATTTATCTAAAAAAAATAAATATATAACTTCAATCATTAATTTTTATTTATTTAATAATTCTAAATCAATATAAAACTTTTTTATTTTTATGTTATATAGGTGGATTGTCCCATATATATATATATATATATGTTAGACTCATAATTAATATTTTTATATTATTCTTATGTGGAGCGTTTTTATTAAAATGATATTATTTTTCTAAATAAACCTTTTAAGTTAACCGAAAAAAATATTACTCCAAATTAAGTAATATTTCATGTGAAAATTTTATAACTATCCTCTTTTATCATAATTATATGTTAATCAAATCAAGTTCAGATTAAGTTCGAATCACACAATCGAAAAGTTTAAAGTAAAGTTGGATTGACTTTAAATTAACTGACTTTGTAGTATTGTTATTGCATATGTTTTATTTTTTTTATCATTATATGGGAGTAGTTTTATATCAATATTAAATTACAAACAATTAAAGTCGTAAATGAGACGAGACAGATTATGAGCTATTCAAATTCGATTAGGTTAAAGTTTGAACAATACTTGAATCGAATAGACTCCATTCGAATTTGAACTCGATTCAAATTCTTAACGAGCCGAAACGAGCTACTTGACTCGACTCGAAAAACTCGCAAGTAACTCAAAAAAAATAATATATTAATTCAAAAATAATTACCTGTCAGGTAATTTTTTTTCTAATTTTATCGATCTAACATCTTTTTTATCATATGCTAATGTGCTTAAAAGGTAATTATTTACTGTCAGGTGATATTTCGGTAAAATTGCCGAAAATACGGTAATACGTAACATTTTTTAAGGCTGTCCACTATCCCCGAGAAAACAGTAAGGCTCCCCACTTCCTGTCGGTCAAAGCTTTGATATAAACTCAATGCGCTGTGCCCTTACCAGCATCAAGGCATCAACACTACTTTGAAGCTGCCCAAAAAAATAACCTAAAAACTTTCACTGCATTTCAAACCAAACAAATACCAGTAATTCTTTCTCCTTTTCTTTTCGGGGTTATGGGTTTAAGGATTTGTTGCTTTCAGACTTTACACATTACACTGTTTCCAATCACAAAACTCTAAACTCATGACTCATATTCCTCCTCCCAAAGACATAACCTTTTGAGGCTTTTGGGTGATCCCACAAGAAATAAAGCAAAAGATAAGTGTATTAGTAGGCAGCAAATCTTGTGGTGGTTTCTAAACATCTGCGTTTTGCTTCAAACTGAACATCTTTCTTCTTCCTCTGCACCTATGGAGTCTTTATGGATACCTTCTTCTTCCTCTTCTCTCCAGGGTGATTCTATTTTCCTTTCTATTCTCTTTACTTGCAATTTTCTTCTTCATTTATGGGCTTTGTTTTGTCAGGTGAGAAGCCTGTGACGGAGCACGGGAGTGTTAATGGAGCAGACGAGGACTTCGATGGATGTTGCCGCCGTCAACCCGCTGGAAAGAAAAGGCGGCTCACGGCGGCACAAGTTGAGCTTCTTGAGAGAAGCTTCGAGGTGGAAAACAAGCTTGATTCCGAGAGGAAGTTGCAACTAGCGAAACAACTGGGGCTACAGCCCCGGCAAGTTGCCATTTGGTTTCAAAATCGGCGTGCTCGATCTAAGAACAAACAGCTCGAAAAGGACTATGATTCATTGAGAGCTAGCTTTGATAAGCTCAAGACTGACTTCCACGATCTCATCAAGGAGAAAGATGGTTTGCAAAACGAGGTTAAAATTTCAAAATTTTATTTACTTTTTATTTATAATTTATTTTTATGTTTTAAAATATTATAAATTCATAACACGGCTCAATGATTGTGCTGGATGATGGTTCGATTTTTATGCAACAGGTGCTAGCACTCAAAGAGAAGCTGTTTATTAGGGAGAAAGGGACCGGGGATTCATCCGACTATGGACCTCAAAACCTCAATTCGGACACAGCATCACATGTGCCACTGCTGGCTTGTAAACAGGAAGAAGCTTGTTCAACTAAAACTGATGTCTTCGAGACCGACAGCCCACATTTCAATGAGCCTGCAGATTCGTCCAACGTTTTCGAACATGATCGATCGGAATTCTCACAAGAAGAAGAGGATGATCCCAACCTACCATTGTTGTCCCCGAGATTTTACTATGATGCACCTCTCGTTTCTTATAACTTTTCGTTACCGGTGGAAGATCAGTCGTTTTGGTCATCACTTTACTAAGTCAAATCTTTTACTATGTTCTTAGTACTGCATCTGATTGTAAGCAATATTAATTTACGAAATTACCATATATTTATCTTTTATGATATTATCCATATTTGTTCATTGATAAAAGATGGTGTCCGTTAATAAACAGAATCTTGATGATGCAAATAGACAAAAATTCCTTCCTAGTCTCTACGTTAAAAAGTATCTTCTTTAATTAAAAAAGAAATGAAATATTGAAATTATTTGATTGCGTCATTCCAATTTCCCAAGGCATTCATTCAGCTGCAGAGATCTGATGGGATCATCAGAAAATCTGATCTCATTGGCTGATGCTTGCAGGGAATGGATCATGTGAATTAATGCTGGTGGAGCTAATTTGTTCACAATGTGTCATGCTGTAATTTGTCCAATGCTTGCTCATGCAAAATTATTTTAAATGCATTTTAAACAACACTAAAATCTATGAGTTTTGATGCGTAGGATCGATTTTTTTAAATCGGGTTCTAGGGCGAAATTGTTCCAATAATATGTTTTAAAAAATTGTTCATGTAGGATAAAAAAATATTTTTTCAAGTAGAATGTTTGTTATATTATATGGTGAAAGTCGTTTAGATCACACGATAGTTTTTTAAAGAACCCTATATCATGCCGTGACTTTTGGAGCATCACCAATTATCCCTATATCAGGGACAGAGTCAGAAATTTTAAATTACGATGTCATAATTTTAAAAAATTAAACGTCTTAATAAAGTCATAAACATTAGTGCATAACATTAATACTCCATAAATTAATGTATAATATTGATAAAATTGGTGTGTAAATGATTATAACATTCGATGAACTATTAGTCAAGTAACGATTTTTATCTAATAAAGTATGTTTTGATTAAAAAAAATTGAAATGTTAGAGACTAAAATGTTTTAAAAGAAAATTATAGAAGACAAAATAATTATTTATAAAACATTGAGTCATAACTTTGTCATTATGCCAATAATTGGTCAATATATTATTCAGAAAAAATTGTCCAAGTTTTAGAATAGAATGAGATAAATTTTTTATTAATTTTTTTAAGATCGGATGAGAGTTAGATTTAGGTAAAAATTAGTTCGTTTCTTCTCTATATATTGATAAAAATATTTTCCAGCCTTTATTTTTACATAATACATTCAGTTTTTTTCTAAGAATTACCAAAGAAGGACAATTTTTTGTTAAAATTTGGAGGTTAGTATACTATTTCTATATTAGTGTATATATTTTCATGAAGCTACAACGATTGCTCCTTTTTAATGAAGAATTTCGACAGAAATTTAGGTTTGGATATAAATAGAAAACTCATTTTCAATGGAAGACGACTTTGGGCAAAGCAGTTTGATTTTCGAAAAATATTATTATTAAGAGAATAATCATTTTTCAAAATTATTTATTCCACATTTAGTTTAAGAGTGTTTGATTCAAGTTTAATTTTTTTATGTGTTTTATTACGTTTATTTTTTAAAATTATTTTTCATAAAAGAATTTCTATATTATAATTTTATGTTTTATATTAACTTTGTCAAATAATTTGATATGATAATTTGTTGCACAACTAATACACGTAGCATGAATAAAATAAAAAAGTATAGCAATTAACACATACTTACATCGGTGTAAGTATGTACATCTCCTAATATCTCAGTATCTAAAAATAAACACTTAATTATATTGGTATAATTATGTTTCTATATTTTCAAAAAATAAAAAATAATAAAAACCATATATTAAGTTATTTTTGTATAAATTTTATTAAAACTATATAAAATAGAAATAATAAAAAATTATATTTTCTATGATTTCTTTTTGTATAACCACCGATTTCTTATTTATTAATCGACTAATTCGAATCAGGTATTATAGAGGCAACGGCGACCCTCTCAACCCAGTTTGCTCCATTCGTAAATGTTATGATTCAAACCCGGGATCTAGTGCCTCATCCCACTAAACAAATTGGTTGTCGATATATTTTCCATAAACTTTCATGTACATATTTTGATTTTAATATTGAGAAATCAACTTGTTAATATATATATCTCAAAGACAATTTAGTAAAGCATATACTGTTTCTATCTTATATTTCTTCAACCAAACATTGTAATCTTACATTTTCACTAAACAAATCAAACAAGATAATACAATATTCTCAATAATATGTTAAGTAATGTAGCATTCTAATAATCTTATTCTAAAAAATAATCATACATTCCGTGAATCAAACGGTCCCTCAAGATTTAGGCTCCATCCAATATTTATATATTTTATACGAGTTGATTGTGAAATTAAATTATATGATAATTTAAAATTTCTTGACGTAAAAGGTATGATCTTACATTAACTAAATGTGCCTAAAACAATGAATTTCAACTCGTTGGTTGCTGCACTTAAAAAGCGAGTAATATAACTCATAGTCGATACATTGCAGTATTGCACCACCATGGATGGGCATTTTCTCATAACAAGGTTTAATTAGTCAAACATGTTTTCATTGGCTTGGTTATGTTGCTATTCCTCTAAAGCTAATCTTATTCAATTCATGTAGGCCGACATCTCGTTCAGGAAAAACTTCACTGCCCTAAATGTTATTCTGAAAGCAACTCTAATTTAATACGGTTTAAATACGTTTAAACATATAATATTTTTTAATTTAAGATTTAAGGGTATAAAATATATTTAAAAATATAGTCTATCGTTACAAATATTATCAAATTCAAACCAATAGCGCGTATATACGTATTGGGAATAAGATTGTTATGAAATAAAATATTAACAATGATTAAAGAAATAAATCATGTCGCGAAAGAATTATCATTTTAAAATAAATTTATTTTAATCAATATAATTAGTGAAGTAGACGTTGTCTTTTGAAATGAACATAATTCTTGTATTGAGTCTCACAAAAAATCTCTGTTTTCATTTTTAACAGCTCTAAAATAAAATTTTAGAGTTTTCAACCCTGATTTTTTTTTCTTGTGCCGTTGTTAGTCTTTTTTTCTTCATCATTTTTGTAACCGACGACCAACTCAGGTCTGGGCCAGGGCAGGAGGGGCATTCGTCGAGACCCCATATTAAAAAAATGTCAGTATAATATTTTTCCTTATTTTTTTTTATAATAAATTAAAAAAAGTGTAAAATAAGTTTGTTAAGGTATCAATTGTTAAAAATATTAATAAATTGTTCCATTTCCCATAAAACTCTAATTCAATATTTTTTTCCAAAATTCAATAAAAAATCCAATTAAATCTGTTTAATTTTGATCTTTCTAAATTTCCACCATTAATGCATCAAATTTCTTTCCCGATTTTTTATGTCAATAAAAATTTTATTAATGTCGGAACCGCCTTTCGGTTGGGCCCCGAAATTGGGCTTCAACTTGAAAAATGTGGATTGGAGTCGCCACCGATCATTTATTTAAAAATAAATGGGTTGATCGGATACCCTATTTCTTACCTGATCTGCGTCTTACCAGAGATGTGTCGGATTCGGGAGTCGGTTACAGTCAAGGAAGGGCTAGCACCCTTGAACTGCCCTTTCGGTACTGTGTAATTTCCAGTTGTCTTTAATTAAGAAAATTGAAAGTTAAGTTAAAAGGTAAAATATTGATCCAAATTGCTTACCACTGATTGTTTGAAGTTCTCTCAAAAAGGCAAGGAAAGGGTTAGGTAATGAAAGTAATAAAAATAGAAAAATAAGGCGGACAAACGAAATAATATAAAAAACAATGTATACAAAAAGGAAAGAATGAAATATGACTAAATACAAAATAAGATATGCAGAAGAGAAATACAAACGAAAATACAAATAAAGAAAAAGAAGAAAATATAATAAAACATACAAAAAAAAAAAAAATTACACAGAGTAAAATAAAATATAAAACAATGAATAATGAAAAGAGAAAAAAATATGCGTAATATATAAATAAAAAATAACAGTTATAATAGTAAAAATAGTAATGAAATAATAATGATGAAAATAATAAATAAAATATATATACATATATATGTAAAATATGAAAAATACATGAAAGATATATAAAAATAAAAGGTAAAAAAAAAGGTAATACATACACGAATGTAATAATAAAAATATAATATAATAGCATAAATAAATAAATAATAATAATAGTAAAAAGTAAAAGGGAGAAATAAATAAAATAAACGTGGAATAAATAATTAATGAATGAAACGAGAAATATATATATTAAAGTATTAAAAAGGAAAAATATCAATAATAGGTAAAATGAATATATATATATATATGTATATACATAAATACAAAAAAATGTTAATAGAAATATAATTATAAGACAAAATGAGTAAGGTTGGTAAATAATAAAAAAAATACACATATAACGTATAAAATTATAAGATGTAGTAGCTAGATAAAGAAATGACCAAAAAGTTAATTAAAATAATATATGTATTAACACTAAGTATATAGATGAAATGTATAGAAAATACGTATATATATATATTACATGAATAAATAAAGAATAGTAATAATAGAAATAATAAGGATAATATAAAGAATAATAATAATAAAAATAAAAATGGTAAAAGAGTATAAAAAGAAATAAAATATATACATATATATACGTATAATAATAATAATAACAATAATAATATATATATATATAATAAAACGTATAAGTGACATAATACTATACTAATAATACATATATACGAGTGTAAAACACTAATAATAATATAATATATATATAAATATTATAATGTAATATAAAAAGATAATTAAAATTAAAATCCAGAGAAAGGACTAAAATGAAAGAACTGCAGGTTTGAGGTCGAAATTCTAAAGCAATATTAAGGGTTAATTTCAATTTGGGGGGTGAAATAACTCTCCAAAAGATACGAGGGACCAAAAGGGTAGTTTACCCTAATTTATTTAGAAACACGTGGGTCTGATATAAACAGATCAAATGTTTGTTTTTATTTCATTTTCTCTTCTTCTTCAAGCCGAGGGATCCCCCCCCCTTTCTCTTTTCTCTGCCTTGTTCTTCAGTAATGAAGAACACAGG